ACAAATATACGAGAGATGCCATCATTACTTTATGGATGTACGCATGTAGCGGACTGGTTAGAACTGAGAACAAATGAATCAACAAAGGTGATACTCAAACGGGTAGTTGGTGGGCAGAATGCTCTATTATTTGATTTTTATCAGGTAAGTATTCCATATGTATCAATGAAAAGGTTTTTAACTGCATTAATTAATATTGCTGTAGTGACCATATTCGTTCACTCAAATAGTTGACTGAAGAACATCCAGAGATACTGACCCCAGATAATATTTGGATCATTGGTATCACACAAGAACTGTCTACTAAAGAATATTATTTGGTGTTCTACTATGACACACATGCCATATTGGACAAATTTATACAAATTAACAAAGATATAGAGTACATGGAGTATGGAAACTTTTGTGCAATCAAGGAGATTGGATGTGATGGATATGGAACATTTTATACTGCCAAATATGAACTGTATGAACAACTCCTAGATGAACCAGAAATCGTTATTCTCAAGCGTTTCAAGAATTTTGATCAGATGCCAAAATTATTTCTTTCTGAGGTGAGGGTTACTAATCTTTTATTTATCATTGTATAAATTAAAGTGATTGACAGCGTATTTATATTTATTTAATAGCTCAAACATCATGCCAAGTCTTTAGATGAGTATGATGGTTCGTCATTACTTCAGATTTATGGAGTCACACAAATCCCAATAACGAGAGACTATATGATTGTTATGCAATATGCTGACAATGGCAGTCTTTTGTCTTATTTGGATCAAAATATTAACAATTTGACATGGAAGACAAAATTAGAGCATTTGTCGAATATTGCAGATTGTCTACTTTGTATTCATAGTGCAAAATTAATACATTGCGGTCTTCATGGCGGCAATATAGCCATGTACGGCAATACGTATGACGATACTGACGAGATAAAAGCATCCGTATGCGATTTTGGCCATTCAAGATCAGTAAATTCACACCAGTCAAATCTAACCATTCGAGACACCATTTCCTTTATTGCACCAGAAGTCTTTCATACACGCAAATTTACTCAGAAATCAGATGTATATTCTTTTGGTGTCATTATGTATTTGATTGCTACAGGCGAACAACCGTTTAAAGATAGGCAGTCTGACGCAAATTTAATACGCGAGATTATGGATGGACTACGACCATCGATGCCTGATTCCGCACCGAAAGCATACACGGTACTTGCCACACGGTGTTGTCATGCTGATCCTGATAAGCGTCCTGATTCAGAAGGACTTTTCAATATTATTCAAAATCTTGTTAACTTGGTGAGATGTACTAGTTCTGTCAATGACGAATGGAATACTATCTATCGTGCATCACAATGATGTAAAACCCTTATTACGTCTCGAGAGAATAAATATTCGAGTACATTTTTATCTACTAGAAATCTGTCTAAACTGAGAAATAAACAATGGTTTCATTATTTGCTGGTTAATGAAGTCAATCTGCAATGTTGATATCTTTTTGCTTACGAATAAACTTGTAATCCACGAGTCATCATTCTTCTTATTTTCTTATACACAAATTCCGACAAAGTAAACGTGCACGATTTATTTGCTAACCCATGTTTGACTATAAATAATGTAAAAAAAATAATTATTTGAACGAGTTCAAATTTAAAAAAAATGGTTAATTTTAATTTCTGAATAAAATATTGTCTTAATTTGTAATTATTGACCCTGGAATACTTAAGTCCACAAAGTTTACTATTACGAACATATTTATTCGTCAGACGTTGTAGTTGTAATATTATGGTATGATTTAAACGATGGTTATTACGCGACGAAAGATCTGAATTGGATTCAAAATTGTCGTTCAAATTGCATTAACTTTCATAAGTTGCTCAAAAACCAACGCCTTGTACATTAACGATACGATGTTTTCACTCTTGAGAAAACAACTTTACCGTTATCGTAATTTATATGTTTGATGTCGAAGAACAAATCAAAATATAAACACAAGTTTGCTTAAAACTAATGGTGTGTTGTTGGTTTTGGCATCCATCCCTGTCCGAGAGTAAACGTTACGTTTTGCCGAAAAAATTATCTTGGCTTGCTGCAATGTTTTTTTACATTATAAAGTAGCTGACACTTTTACTGTTTCCAGAACAATATTCTTACTGAATGTCTATTTTTTCCATAAATTATTAAGACTTTACAATTGTAGTTTGCTCCGATTTATAAAGTGTCACTTTATGACAATATAATATATTCAAACATGCATGTACGTGGCTGCCGTCGCCGTCACAAGGCGACTACACAGATACGGCATGATACGGCACTCTTCATGTTCGAACGTCTCGGTACATCTCAGGTAGTCATCCTACTCTAAAACGGCCAACTCGCAGGATAATTGGACGTTAGATTATTGACGAGTTATACAACTTTGTCTTTTTATCCTCTTGAATAAAACAAGTTTGTTTATATGATAAAACAGCAAATTCCTCGTCTCAACTTGCAGAACGGCGAAACGTCTACCGGTAAAAAGCTTCTTCATGATAAATGGAACGATTACTGAGAAATAACAAACTTTCCAAAGTAAAACAAACAATGACCCGTTAGTTACGCGTTCCAACTTGAACATTCAGCGACTTTGGTATCCGCAATAATCTAAATTTAGCCTTACGTAGAGAACGTAAAAAACGTATTTAACATCTCTGCGTAAATATATTAGTTATGTAAATTTAGCATAAGACTTAAATACTTTCGAACAACTGTATGTTTTATGACCATATCGGCATTACTCTGTAATGTTAATCTACAGTTAATTAATATTACATCAACATCATATCACAACGCACATACAGTATTAATATCTGCTTCCTTAATAAGTATATCACCTGATTACAAGAGTGGCGAAAAAAAGTGTCATCATTAATCCGTAGTCACAAAAAAACGAATTCAGGGTAAGCACGCATTTTGCATTCTTCTTTTTGAACACGATTGGACAAAATTCTTTCACGTGATTACCTTTTTATGCATGGCATAACTTGGTTGATTCGTGTAGTTAATGTAGAGTCGTAACAGATTAGTATTAATTTGTTCTTTTTCTGAATCTTCTCTCTCCTCAATCCGCAGACTATACTTATTGACCACAACACATGATTGGTTATTCTAATTCATCTTTGCATAATCGTGTCAAATTTTTGCAGCAATCATGCTGTCATTGAGAGTGACAATGCACAATGCGGAACGCCCCCCGCCTGTAAGAATGCTACTTGTGTGGGTAGTACAACCGTTGCTCGTGCTACCTTTTGATATCTGATTGGATATGATATCGATTGTTTACTTTGTTCTTATTTTGGTAGTTAGTATGGTATGATCCCTAATTTTCCACATAGTCGATAGCTCTGAATCAAGTGGGATGTGTTTGTTTTAGAATGTCAACATGTTCAGCGATCGCTATTCCCCATGCTAAAATAAATTAGATCCGCTTTGCCGAAGATTATCCCATTGTCCGTACATGTGAACCAATAGTATTCGAATTTGAAAAATAAGCGTTTATCCGTGTATGGCTGAACTATCAAAAATCTATTCCACAAGATAATAATAATTACCAAACAATATAAATATAATAAATTGTTGTGGGACTGGGGCAAAGGCTAGAATTAAACTCGATAAAGTTAGAGATTAGAAATCGGTGCGTCCAATTACATGCATTTTATTTCAAACCCTTATATGTCAAGTCGCATTGTCCGAGTTGATTCTCTTACTTTAAGAAGCCCACATTATCTTTTTGGTCGACGAGACTAAATAGCTGAAACGCTCCTAATTATAGTTTAACGCCCTTGGAAGAAAAACTTAATGCGTTTTACTAAATTTTGATACTTTTCCGCTGTTGAAACAAGGGGCTTGTCATTATGAGGCATTGCTTTGACTGCCGATCAAAAGATTCAGATTCGGGAATGTTTTGCTCACGCCACCGTTTAACATGCCCGCCAATTGTTGAACAACCCATGCCGTAAACAGACATTAATTTGACTAATACAGAATTTACACTTCCCAGAGTTTAGTGCGATTTTGAAGAATGATTACAATTGATCAATGGTCCTGCCCCGTCTGATCATTGTGTCACAACTTATCGTCTCACTTCGGACATCAGACTAACGCACTTTGCAGATTTCAATAATGCTTGCGCTACAGTCATATATAAGGAAGAATGTTCTTGCGAGGGCAACATTTTTGTTGGATAACTTTAGACCACGAGAGAGGCTTTAAAATTCTTGGCATTGAACTTGTAGCATGGCATGGATGGTTTTTCGTCAAAATCTTTATCTCCCCGCAGTCCACGCTATTTCCCCGTTTGGTTACGCAGTAGCTTTTTTTAGAAATTACCGCAAGCGAAAAAAAAAAAGAAACTCGTTTGTTAGTGTGGCACAAATAATAACAATCATTGTAGTCATGTGATAGTGCATTGAACTTAAATAGTAATGGAAATAAAAGTTCACAAAGAAATATGCGCGCCGTACTATTTTAGGTGGAAATAAGTCCATATACAATACAATACGCTTTTATCAGACTATAAATATTTTCATTGTGGCAATTTCGACGTCGGTTTCTATAACCAAGCAAACTCCGCATTGGGACGCTTTATAGGTTGAATGGACTGCTGCAAACTGACCTAAACGAAGCAAATTGTCTCTTTCCACAGTAATTGACGCTTAGCCTGTAAAAAACGCATTGGCGAATTTTTTAATTATACGAAACGAAAAATGAAATACTACTTATCAACAAGGACACTATGGATGCCCCTACTGGTTCTGCTTTTCATAATTACGTTGACGTCTGCGGACCTATTTCAGCGGTGGCAACCAACATCATACCGTTATAGGTAACTAATATGAAATCAGAACATGCAATCGATCATGTAAAATGTAACATGAGTTTATGAGTATCGACTATGAGATGTGTTAATGCTTATGTATCTCACATGTTCTTACCTCCGTTCTCAGCGATGATACAGGTACAATGATCCAAACACCGTCTGACGCACTCGCTGCGAATCTTAATCCCACAAGTGCCCGTCTTGCAATAAACTGCACGGATCCGGTTCCACCCGGCCAGGCACCTCTTCCGCGCTGTATATCTGGCATAGGCTTTAGCTACAACGCCGGTCAATACGACACCAACACGCGGAAATTATATCGCTCTGCTCGTAGAACAAGTCATTTTACCACGTTCTTTGGTCAATACATTTCTTTCGATATTATCCAAACAACCTCGAACATGACTGCCAACCCGATAGCCGTTCCACAAGACGACGCGACATATAACTGGGGATTCGTAGCGACAGCTCCTCTGTTTAACTTTAATAGGACTGCATTTAATGATAATACACCGGCAGGACACGCAGGACTCAATCAAGTAACCTCATACTTGGATTTAGAGCAATTATATAGTAACGATCCTACGGTGCAAATGCAATTGAGAGATACTGCCAGTTCAAGAGGTTACCTAAAGACCGGTACGCCTGGTTATGCTCCATTCGATCCCAATAATCCAACAAAATACCTCGTGGGTGCTGCCAACCCTAAATCACGTAACTTATTCGTAATGGCCATGCACACTGTTTGGTTACGTAATCACAACCGACTGTGCGATCAGTTGTGGGACACGCACGGCACGTCATGGACCGATGAGCAGTACTATCAAGAAGCACGTAGATTGAACAAGGCGTACTATCAAAAGATGGTCACGGAAGAATATCTGGGTGTGGTTCTTGGACGGCCTTTACCACTATACTCTGGTTATAACGCCAATCAAGCCAACGGCATTGATACTGTCTTTGCTAGCATCACAATGCGATACGGACATACTGAGCTGAGCGATGCGTATCACATGGAAGATATCAACGGCGAGGATTTGGCTAGTCTTCCCTCGAACCAAATCAATGACGAAACTCTGCTCGAAAAGTTTTCGTTAGAAGTCGTTTTGAGGTCACTAGCCTTGCTCAGGCAAGAGGAAGTCGATGGATTGATCTCGGATAATGTTCGTAATTTTTGTCCAACTCAGACACTGTGTTTCGATAACGCGTCTACTGATATCAACAGAGCTAGAGACAGAGGTATTCCAGTGTATAATACAGTCAGGCAAGCTTATGGGTTCGCGCCAGCAAACACTTTCGCCGACATTACTAGCAATCCGGATATGCAGGCTCGGCTTCAAAAACTTTATGGAACTGTTGACCAAGTAGAAGCATACATTGGTATGTTTTATGAGGATCATTTGCCGGGTTCTAACTTTGGACCAACTCTTAATGCCAGCATGATTACACAAGTACATGTTATTTCTTGTCTTTTGGTTGTTTTTTTTTTTTTTTTTTGGCCTGTTTTTTTTTTCTTACTAACAATACAATCCCGATATATAGTTTTCTATCTTTCGTGATACCGACAAAACATGGTACGAAAACACGCTCTCTGATGACGAGAAACTGGCTGTTCGTAACACAACATTCCGGGACATTGTCCTTGCGAATCTCATACTTCCCGACGGCACAAACTTTCCGCAGAACGTCTGGACCGTCCAACCCGATACTGGATCTTCTTCAAGCGATTTAGACACGGCGTTTCCCGGAAAAGTTACTCCATGGACTCCATACATATTGAGGTGGAGGATCTCGGGAACTGTTATCCAGTTTGCAGTCGACCTAGCCACATCGTCGGGAAGTGGATGGTTTGGAGTTGGATTTGGTCCCACTGACGATGGCATGACTGGAGCCGATATGATTATCGGGATCGTCAGCAATGGAAACGTCAACATAATGAACTATTATGCGACCGGTTATCAGCCACCTATCGTTGATCCCGTTCAAGAAGTTCAACTCGACAGTCAGAGCGTTTCTAACGGGCTTGCTCGGGTTCAATTTTCGCGATCTCTAACGTCTAGTAATAGCGATAAACGCAAACCTATCAAGAACCAAGACTTGAAAGTGATTATGGCGTACAATCCAGTCAGTTCGATCTTGACGTATCACGGCAACAATCGTCAGAAGCTTCGCATCAACTTTTACACAAATACAATTGCGTCTGATGCTAATCCTGAATCTATTATGCGTACAAGAATAGCACATGGAATCTCAATGTTTCTTGCTTGGGGGTAAGTTGAAGTGGAAGTGGGAAGCAAGCGGTTTTGCAAGAAAAAAGAGAAACTTTTTTCGTTTCTCTGCAGCCAAGTGCTTTGATTTACTAATCGGTTTACTCCATCGTAACTATCAGAGTGATCTATCCAGCTTCTGCGTTTATTGTTCGGTACTACAAGCATACATACGGATTTCTCAAAATTCATGTAAACATGCAGCTGCTGGCTTCTTCTCTAGTGGCTACAATGGGCGCCGCAGTTATTGCTACTGTTAGTAAGACTTTATGCGTGCATGCAAAGGTTGGACTGGTCGTGTACGGCTCTACCTACATACAATTGGGGTTGGGTATTTGTTCATTCTGGCTCTTGAAGAAAATAGAGTCTGTGAACGAAGGTATTCCTCGAATACTTAAACGGGCCCATCGATACTTTGGAGGGACACTTATAATTGCGGCTTTGTTCAATATATACCTCGGTATTCAACAGTTTGGTTTACAGTATGGGTACAACGACTTGCCGTTGAGGATTGCGTTTATATCATATGTTTCGGTCGTTGTCCTTGTCTTTATATTCGCCGAGCTGTGGCGCGCATTTGATGGAGTCTTTGTCGCCAGATCTTGCCGAAAAGAAGATATTGTAGAAGCAAAGACTATGCTATATTCATATCTCACTGTCGAGGCACATTCAGAGTTGCCAGACTTTACCTGGGATGAAATCAACGAAAGGGTGCAGCGCGGTGTAAGTATATGTAGAATATCGTTGCATTAAGCGTGAACTTTTGAAGCCTGTTGGAAAAAATTTATGCTAACATTCTTTTCTTCTTTTGGGGGAATAAAAGGCATTTTTGGTTGTCTGCGATGGTCTGGTTGCCGACATCAGGAAATGGATCAATATACATCCGGGTGGTGCCAAGATTTTAGAAAGAGTTATTGGAACTGATATTACCAACGGTAAGCGCAAAAGGAAATTGTGCTATGCAGTATATAATTTCTATAACTTTTTTAAATAAACTTTCTGGTTCGACTGTCAACACACCATCCAGACTTTTACGACACGCACAAAATAGACTTGATAAAAGAAAAAGAAAAAGAAGAAGCCCTGGAAAATAAAGATATGATCTTTGCTCAACCAGCCAGTCTCATCTCCCCAGTACTAGGAGAATATGCTCATCTGTGGGACAAGCGAAAACAGACCCAGTACCGAAAGACAATTTTGACCACTATTGACGACGCAAACATCAAGATTTTCCACAAATCTCGCGTTCCAATCGCGCGTCACAAGCACACGGCATTTGCCACCATGCAGTTTGCAACAATGGTTATCGGAAAGGTGTCGGAAACCAACTATACAGTAGACAAGAGTCTCGATGCTTTGGATCCAGATCTCAAATCATACTTTAGACCAGAAGCTGCGCCGTTTTTGGAGTTTGATATCGCAAAGGATACGTCAAACAGAGTATTCAGGAGATATCAATTGACTGACAAGGAAATGATAAATGCCAATCCAAAGTTACCAGTCTACAGATTAACCTTTACCAAAGTACATCAGCCCAAGAAAGCCGGTGGTGACCGTTTTCTCCCTGGTGATTACGTCGAACTTCAAGGCCGTGTTAAAGGACAAGTGATTGTGCGTAGTTACACGCCCATCGAAGGACGCATGTCAAACACCTTCTCCATCATTGTGAAGATCTACCCTGACGGTCTCATGTCGCAACTCCTTCACAACCAGCTAGTAGGATACGAAGTTAAAATCCGTGGACCGTTTGATTTATCTGATCGTATTGGAGTTTCGCACTTGTCACAGAATGAGTTGTCGACTGTTATGGGAAGAAGGTTTAGCTCGAGTCGTTCTGTAATAAGCAACACAAGTTCTGATTATAACGGACATATATTGCTGAATCCTGATGCTTCTGATGGGTGTTGGGATGAATTGTTTATGATTGCTGGTGGTACTGGCGTTACACCCATGTTACAGGTTAGTAAATCGAATAGGTTGGCTGACGTGGGATCATATAATACTTGTACTCATTCATGCTCGCGAAATTCTCCCCCCCCCCTTTTTTAGTTAATCAAATACTACCTAAAAACATTAGCTTCAAACCGTGACCGTCGCCTTTCAATGCACTTGCTTTACGCTAATGACAAAGTTGAAGACATTATCGACGGTCTTAAACTCGAAGGTTTTGCAGCCTTAAGCAAAGGAATGCTAACAGTTACCTATATTCTTACCAAACCACCCAACAATTGGAACGGTCTTACCGGCCACATCAACACTGAAATTCTTAACAACTGGATTAGTCACCATGCGCGAAGAGACACGATATTCAATCAACCGTCGATGCCACAGCCATTGACTAGTAGTGTAGGACAGGACTCATATTACTCTGATCGAACACCTGACGCTAATTACGCTCATATGGACGTGGATGAGGTTAACAATGAAGTAATACAGGCAACCGTTGAGGATAATGACGAGGTTAATCAAGAAGTAGTCAACGCATCTACTCATAGTCTTAGCACCACAGACCACGAGATAATAGGAACGCCAATACAGTCACCGACCACTCCTCGTCCTCTTCCTCCCCTCCCATTAAGTCCATCACACGTCCTTAATAGTAAGGATCCTTTGAACCGTCATGCAAGTCTTCTCAGTTCCTCGTATGCGCCAACAGGTAGTCCTTTATTAAGTCCGATGTTGTCACCCACGCCATCGCAGAGTTATTATCAAATGCCGAGGATGAAAATTGTTGCATGTGGACCTTCGCCAATGTTGTTGACCGTACAGAATTCGTTAAAGGATATGGGATATTCGGATGACGATATTATCATGATGTTTTAAAATGGATTTATTTGGCTTGAGTGGGAGAGGTGTTGTAATAAGTAACGTAACAATAATGGTTGTGTTCAGCTATAGATGTATTATTATTTACTAATGTATTAATAATCAAGTTTGGGGTGGGGCGATATATATAAATGTGACAGTGGCTGTGAAAAATAAATTTGAATTTTACACGCAAAAGGCGCTTAAAAAGTGCGTGTGGGGTTTGACCTTACTTCCGCGTTTTTTGTAGGTTCGATTTTTGGCGTATCACGTATAATGCAAACGGCGAGTCATATGGTAATTATAGTTCAAATTATAACGCCCGGATATTACTTGTGCAAGCAAAATCCTTCCTCGCGCACAGTTCATTAGATGTTTAGTATGCGATGTTTGGGCAAAGTGTTGTCGATCTTTTGGCCTCATATCTTAACACACAGAAACGCATCATGTGAAAATATTATGGATTAAGCCGCGTGATCCATTTTGATGTTGTGTATATTTTCTAGAATGCTTTTGCTATGAAGAATAGGTTTATTACATTTTTGGAAACAAAGCATACCTATATTTCAATTGACAAAGTTTCGTCACTATGTTATTATGGTGAACAATTAGATGAAAGAATAAGGTGGAAAACAATGTAACCAGAGCAATTGAACAGTGCATAAAAGATTCTAAGATAAATAATGAGCAAGTTGTAGTTTCAAAGTGTGCATATCAAATTTTTAGGTCAGTATTCAAGTCCACAATCCTGCGGCTCAGAATATATATATATTTTTAAAGTTGAAAGCCGTTATGACATCTCTTTTTTTGAATGAAACTCATTATGCGAGCTATAGTAATAGGATCTATCAATTAAATTCAAAAAATATATATACGTGTATACGTTATTTAATTTCTTTTTTAGATAACGATCATAATTAAATAAAGGCTTTCCGATGCCAATGCTCGGCTCATTCGGCATAATTTTGTGAGGTAGGAGATGTACGATAACCGAATGTATCTGAAAAAGAGATTTACGCGCTTGTTGCAAACCATGCACCCTTTCCCCTAATGAACTTGACAATATATGTATTGTTCTAGAGATCTTACGATGGTGAAGAAATTGAGCAGGTCTCATTAAAAAATTTGAACCGACCGTTGCTCCGCGTGATTTTATTGCAAGAAAGAAGAGAAACGACTGTAGATTATTATTAAGTTTTGAATTTATTGTTGAGTTATTGAACAAAGAACAGGATTTGAAGTAAACAGTATTAGTTAGTGTTTACTAGACTTAAGCGAGTCAAAAAGAGCTCTTTTAAGAAATAATTAAAAACAACTGAACTAGATCTTTTTTTGTGATTAGCATCGCGTAATTTTTCTCATGTGGAAAGATCACATGGAGATTAAATGCTATTAATTGTCCAATCAGCATCGTCTGATATTTGATTCAGAAAATTTTTTGAACGCTCGAAAATGGATGACAACAGTATTGATCAACAAACGAAAGAAGAAAATGAGAGCAATGAGAGCGAATCAACTGCTACAAGTTCGTCAGGGGGAGACAGCAGTGAAGCGTCATTTGCGAGGTAAGTAACAAGTAAGGTAGTTTGTCCTGATCACTTCTGTTCTTAAGAAAAGGTTTCCACTCCTAATTCACTCCCAGTGATTCAGACACGGACGATTCAGACACGAGCAGTTTAAATACGGACGATTCAGACACGGACAGTACAGACGAAACAGAAGTCTTTGATTTGTTTGCTGAAGCTACTAAAAATGGGGAAATTCTACACACACGGAATGAAATTGTCAAGATCCCTATAAGAAAACCTAATGTCGAAATTAGAGATAATATGCCAATAGATGAGATCGGGAGTGTGTATAATATCGTTGAAAACGCAGTAACCGTGATTGCAAAGGTTTCAGGAGAATATCAGGTGTTGGATTCTGGAAGTATTTTTGTGTTTGAGGATCGACATATGTTGGGCGAGGTAAGTCTCAAAGAGCGAGTAGATCGATCAGCGGAGAGGGGCTTTAATTTATTTTGCTATCTTTTCTTATGATTGAATGCTTTTTTTTTTGTCTACATGTTTTGTGCTAGGTGTTTGAAACGTTTGGACCCGTAAGTCAGCCAATGTACGCCGTATTATTTGACAATGCATCTGAAATCGACCCGGAGAGAGTGAAGATTGGTACCAAAATATATAGCGTGCGACAGTATGCAAACTATGTCTTTACTAAACCCCTGAGAGAACAAAAAGGTTCAGATGCTAGTAACCTGTATGACGAGGAACCTAATGAATCGGTGAGTTTTCGAAAGCGTGAATTGACATGGATTTAGAATTTCGTTATTAATGATGTGTTATGGTTTATCAGGAAATAGAGTTTTCCGATGATGAAAAAGAAGCGGAATACAAGCTACAGCTCAAGAAGAGGTACATATGCGAAGTATCTATATCACCAATCTGAGAGTTTTGGCGCTTGATACGAAGACTCTGGTCTAATTTTCGGTCATAAACTGCATAAACTCTGTCTAGGATTGGGAAAGCCGAATTTACTGACCCGTACAGAAACAATCGGAAGCCAATAGTAATATATGTAAAATAAGTTGCGGGGTGTAAAGTACGCATGACATAAATAGTTGATTGAAGAGGATGAAATGTCTTTTTAGCGTCCTATCTCGCAGTTGGCTTCCAATTGTTTTTGTGTGTCGTTAAGGCTTTCTCAGACCGAATGGTAGGCTTGTAGTCAATAATCGAAAATTTGACTAATTATATCGTTTCATTAATTACATTTTTACACATTTTATTTCATCAACGAATTTATGAGCTTACTCATTTGAGCATGCCATTTGTGGTCACTGAATTGAGAGCAACGTGTGGATTTATTAGTTCAATGTGGAGCTTACATATTGCATTATTAACTGTTTTTATCATATTTTTTTTTGTGCAGCAATCCCGGACGAGGAGGCTCTTCGAAATCAAGAGGCCGTGGTGGACGATCTCTTCAAAAAAAGAATAATCTGCCCCCGGTGAAAGGTGAAGATGATCCATATGGATATAACATCCTTCGGCGACCTCAACAAACTCCTCCAACATCAATCACGCAAAGTAATGAATAATACATGTTTTTTTTTTCAAATACAAGTTTATTAATACTGAAACTAACTAATGACAGCATACAATGTCGCTCATAGCGTAGGTCCCGCTTCATCAACGCACTCTACGATACCTACGATATCACACCCGATAGCTCCTTCGATGGTCCAACCGTCGTGGCCAGCTGTAAATTCACCACCGATAATGACGCATCCGCCGATACAACCGCATATGACACAGCCTCAACCGATACAACCACATATGACTCAGCCTCAACCGATACAGCCGCATATGACTCAGCCTCAACCGATACAACCGCATATGACACGACCTCAACCCTGGCAAACTCAAATACATCCGCAGATGCAACATGGATTTCAATATCAACAGGGAGCAGTTAACGCACCCCCTGCTCATGTGGATATTGGAGCCATACCGCAACAGCAGCAATATGCTGGTTGGAATCAGGGGGCTTATGGTCGGCAAGTGAATAATTTCGGGAACGCGTCTGGGTTCCATCAATAATCTTTGCAATAAATATCAAAAAAGACATTTTATAACGGCGGTCATATTTTTGGGGGTTTTTGTTGACTACAGTTGTTAATTTCTGCTGAACAAATCAACTTTTTAAAAACATCGGCCAGAAATTAACCAAGTCGATATGTCACATTTTCTGTCCTTTGCCGACATGTTTGTATAATATAAACGGCATTATATGGACAGATTAGAAAGGCTTATTCGAAGAGAACCAGAACACAAAATTAATATTACTGATGCGAACGTGTTGACATTGACTTACCTTATTATTATTTAGCAAAGATATGATTAACAATGTTAATGGAGCAAATGACTCTGGAGTGACAAAAGTCTAAGCATTCCTTAATTGGCGTGATTTGGGGCAAGAGTTATGATTAACACATTCGATTTCCATTTCACTGACGTGTGAGTTATCGTCGTTAGAGCGTCAATATTTACGGCTATCCCTGTTACTTACAATAACCAAGGCTAGTAAATATAAGTCAGCCGTGCGGAAGTTTATACTGGTGCTTACTCAAGAGCTTAGTAAATCATGCGCCTGAGCGATCTCGTTAACGTGTGTGCACCCACTTGTGTGGTTTCAGTTTAATACGGCAATTGCAGTTCAGAAATAATTAGTTTAAACATTATACTACCATCAACTTTATAATGTTTATTGTACTTTCCAAAGTCGTGTTCCAATTAAAAGGTAACAAGACAATGAAACTTTGATGCTTTCTTTTTTCTCAAAATTAAAGACATACGTGAGTCTGTCGAGTTACCTCGACAATAATCGCATACTGCTCATATTCACTTCCTTGGTGACAGTTACGGAATTTTTATCACTTCATTTATAGGCTCGAAAAACAATACTAGAAAAAGTAAAGTATATGTTATAAACATTAACCAATTGCTTCAAAAAATCGAGGACAAAAAAAAGCGACGTAAAGACGTCACGTTTTATTATGATAATGCAATACTAAATGAACATCGGCTCAGTCACAAATTCTTTCCACAGAGTAAGTCATCGTCCTTCTTACAGTTTAAATTTGCTCGACGTAATTTTTTTTTGTTCTCAAGCTAAAAAAAAGCAGGCAGAAAAGTTTTAGTAATGTTAATGTCTGTATCATAGTTTTCAGGCAATATAGAGAGCCTCATCCAAGGAAATTTACTATTTTATTTGTTCACGTATTATGTGTGTTGTGAAATAAGTCACGCGATTTAAAAACTTTTCAATCTTTGTAACGTATTTATATTACTGCCAAAGTCTTTCATCTAAAAAGCGAAACAACCAAACTACACTTCGTGAGAATTTACGCAAAAAAAATTTTCCTTAGAAATCCATTTCGCTAGCAAAAACCACTAACGGGTGCCTTGAAAATGAAACCTTACACAAAGTAGCGTAACCCGCAATAGTAAACACAAATTTGCTGTGTTACTAATGCATGTGACACAATCGATATCGCTCTTACATGTTGCAGCAGGACTCCAAGTCCAACAATAACAACAAAATGTCATCAATTGCCGCTGACAAGGATTGGTTAGAGAAGAGTCTTGAAAATGAATACATTCGATTCTATCCTTCTGATGCTTTAATCAATAGTCGCTGCATAGGCTATGGTACATTCGGCGTAGTTTTCAAAGCAACGGTAGCAACATCGGGCATAACCGTTGCTTACAAGTTGATATTACATTCGGACGAAGACGAGTTTTTCAAAAACTTTGTACACGAGGTTTGCAACCATGCGTGATGAAACTGTTGCTAGGTCTATGGAACTGCATTTTTTACATACTGTTCGTTTCGTAACTCATATTCTAGCTCAAGATTCATCGTAGTGTAGATGACCATCCCAACATAATTCGATTTCTTGGTGTTAGTAAAGGTAATAGTAACAGCGAAACGATTTGATGTGTTGAAATATTCAAGTAGGCATGAATATAATACTTTTTGGCTTTCAGATGTTGAAGGAAGATACTTAATGGTCTTCGATTATGCGGACCATGGTTCATTACGGAAATACTTATCGACGCCAGCTATCAAACTAGATTGGTTTGACAATTGTCAACTTGGTTTGGATATCGTTAACGGATTGACATATATTCACAGAGTAGGAATTTTGCATAAAGATTTAGTAAGTGTATTACTCTTTATTCGATTTTCTTTATTACAAATTGTATATTAATATTGCATCCAATGCTATTATAAGTCTTCGAACAATGTATTAATTCATGGGAAAACGGCTAAGATCACGGACTTTGGGACATCTGAAAAATTATTACTGCAAAAGACTTGCTCAAGACACCAAGGAACATCTGCGTACCTTGACCCTAAATGCTTTGGTGACAATGATACTAAGAGAGATGAGAAATCTGATATTTTTAGCCTTGGGATTATTCTATGGGAAATATCAAGCAGAGAATATCCATGTAGGGAATTCAACACTATATTTGACATTCGGATTTATAGGCTGAATGGTGGTCGTCATGAAGTAGTTCCAGGCACGCCAGAGGAGTATAAAAATTTATATACAGAATGTTGGGATAACGATTCAGACAAAAGACCAACCAGCGAACAATGTTATCATAAGTTAAAAAATATGATGATAAACCTGAATCAATTACCAAATTGCAATATTAACCAGGATGAAGAGAAGATTAAAGACCACTCTCTTTCTGATAAATTATCAGAATTATATAAGGAGTTTGAATTTAAGGGGAAATCAATGGAACAAATAGCTGGTTTTATGAAAAATTGGCTGATACAAAATAATAACAACAAAGGAAATTTATTAACTACACTAAAAGCACATACTGACTGTGGACAATGCTCTTTGCTAATTGGATTTTTTTATGCACATGGAATACAAACAGAAACAGACCTTGGACAAGCTATTCAATGGTATCAACAATCAGCAGAAGCAGGTGATGTTACAGCACAATATAACCTTGGTATTTGTTATGAGAATGGAACTGAAATGGAAAAGGATATTCAAAAAGCAGTAGAGCTGTATCAGAAAGCAGCTGAACAAGGGCATACCAGTGCACAATATAATCTCGGTATTTGTTATGAGGATGGGACAGGAGTGGAAATGAATATTCAAAAAGCAGTTGAATTGTATCAGAAAGCAGCTGAACAAGGATATGCCAGAGCATGGAATATTCTTGGTAATTACCATTGGCATGGGACAGGAGTAGAAAAAAATTTTCAAAAAGCAGTTGAGTTGTATCAGAAAGCAGCTCAACAAGGATATGCTGGGGCACAGAATAATCTTGGTAATTGTTATTGGCATGGGACAGGAGTGGAAAAGAATACTCAAAAAGCAGTAGAGCTGTATCAGAAAGCAGCTGAACAAGGATATGCTGGTGCACAAAATAACCTTGGTATTTGTTATGAGGATGGGACAGGAGCGGAAAAGAATATTCAAAAAGCAGTTGAGCTGTATCAGAAAGCAGCTGAACAAGGACATGCCAAAGCACAATATAATCTTGGTGTTTGTTATGAGTATGGGACAGGAGTGGAAAAGAATATTCAAAAAGCAGTAGAGCTGTATCAGAAAGCAGCTGAACTAGGAGATGCTGATGCACAATATAATCTGAATGAATGTTATAAGCATGTACATGGGACAGGAGTAGAAAAGGATATTCAAAAAGCAGTTGATACTGAGCTGTATCAGAAAGCAACAGAACAAGGATATGCCAAAACACAAAGTAATCTCAAGAAGCTGAGATGGAAGAATCTAAAACCTTTCATGTCATTTATGAGAAAGTAAATTATTAAACACTTCAAAACAATGATTCGCCATAATCTCTCCTTGAACAGATGCTTCAAGCGAGTCCCATGATCAGACACAGAACTAGGTCCAGGAACCAACAGCTCAAAAGGAAAAGGGGGTTACTGGACGTATTTCTGGTATATGCTTTTGATTAACATTAAATTCAATCTTCTTAATTTATCAAATTTACTTTGTAAACACAAGTTGTCCAATACAATCAATATGTCTGTACACCATAGCCACAGTATAAGTAATAGTAATAGTAGATGGATTTTGGATTGTACAAATATCTAAATATTATTTGATGTTAACAAAATGAACATTGCTTTAAAAGCTTTGTAGTTGTAAATATTGTGACAAAGTTTACGAAATATAATGACAATGGCTTCGCAACATTATGAGCTAATACTGATATCTCGCGGTGATATCACTATGATACAGCTGAATGTCTGTGACCCTTTATTGCCATGATCTAGATCTGGCACAGAATTTTTTAACGCATTTGTTATTATGGTCTGGTGCAAAAAGGTTGATACACCAATATGCTTATAATAAAAAACTTTTTTTTCCAAATTAATGAAATGTTTAAATAAATTAATCTATGATTTATAGTTCAAGCTATATCTCAAATGCAAATTTTATTAAAGTTTTTAAATTTTTACAAAAAATATTAACATTCAACTTCTCCGACTTCAAAATCTTCATAGTCACTTTCAACCAATAACGTATCACTTGAATCCTTATATTCTTTGGCCCTATCAAGTGATCTTTTCCAAAACCCAACAATAACCTTAGAGGTAACCTTTTCTTTAAAAGCGTGCAATAATTTGTCTCTAATAGCAAGAAGATTAGGATGAGGACCAGTTCTAGCAACCTCACCTTTTACAATTGACCAAATTCCCTCAATCGGCTGAAGCTCACAATGGTAAGGCGGGGTATAAAACAGATTGTGGTCATACTTATTAGCTATTTGAACACATGCAAAAGGTACGTTGGTATATGGTTATTTTCTTCGAGTTTTTGTCGTAACGTATGGGTTGAAAGTGGGGAACCGGAAACGTTTGCGGACATAACAAACTTGTGTAGAAGTTCAACAACATTATGGTCAAGTCCTTTTTTGGGCCTGCCTTGGATTGTTTGCCGTGAGAATTCTTCATTTTCACTTCCATTATACTCAGCAACCACACGCGCAACTGTTGCCTCCCCAATACCGAGAACCGAAGCAACCTCCTTGCG